TTTATATAGGTAACAAGCTGAGATTAGGAGCACTCCCTTTAAGAGCGGACTCCTAATCTCAGCTCGTTACCTGTATAAAAGACACCTGGGAGCCAGAAATCTTTCTGATTGAGAGGGGGTCAAATACTTATTTCCCTCATTAAAATGCAAATCAATTTATAAATTTTTTAACATGTTTTTCTGGATTTCATGTTGTTATTCTGTTTCTCACTGTTCAAATAAACCTACCATTAAAATGATAGACTGATAATTTCTTTGTCAGTGGGCAAACGTACAAAATCAGCAGGGGATCAAATACGTTTTTCCCTCACTGTAGCTGCTCACCCAGAGCTATAACTGCCCTGATAGTGGCGTTGTCTTTGTGCTGTTCGCTTTTTGGCGTTCTCTGGTCTAACACTGTTAGTGAGACTAGGCTCCAAAGAAAGCTGTCTCTGGTGTGGACCAATCAGTTTAAAAGACAATGCCATATATTACTGGAGCATGTTTTTTGTTTGCATGTTCACCACAAGTATTGTGTGTGGTTAATGCAGACATGATTCCTTGCAAAAGGGTTCTGTTTGGTGTTTTAACATGTTATTGTAAGAAAGGGTAAAACCTATTCTTATATCCCAAACTGTTTGACGGTCCCCTTTGCAGGAATGTGGAATTTGCACCACTGGCTCAGGGCGGGCAAAACAGAAATGAGCACTGCCCCAGTGCTTGATAGAGTGTGGAGGACACTTCTATTTGGCTGAATTGGTAGCATAATAAACAAGCCATTCTGACCATCTTATTGATGAGATCTATGGGCAGCACAATTCGATGATACGAGGCCACTAACAAAACCTCTTTTCCACTGCACATCCGAGCTGTGCCCGGGGCCATGCCAAGCCAGCCCCGATGCAGCGCAGGAGGTGCTAGGGTTGTTTTTCCACTGCACAAGCCCAGCTGTGCCGCATCAACCAAGTGACAAATGCGATGAATGCTACTCATTGGCCCTCCTTGACCCAGAGACAAAGCACGGCTTGGTTCTATTTAAACTATTACTATTTAGTATTTTACCAGGTAAGGCCCACTGAGCTATGTAGCTCTTTTTCAGAAGCGACCTGGTCACAAATGATAGCTCAACGAAGTAGCTTATCATGCAGACATTTATAGCAGCCAAATACTCGAAACACATGTTGATTCTAAATGTGGAGGGAAACACCGGAGGATCAGGAGAGAAATCCACGCGACCACGGGGAGAACATGCAAACTCCAAATATACAGCAGCAGGCATCAGGGTCGGGATCGAATCCACGACCTCCTGTATACCAGGCGAGGTAGTAATCGCCTGGTATACATCTCGCCACCACGGCACCCTGCCAAAGTCAGTGGAAAACCATCGGGCCCTGCATTGGCTCGGCTCTGATGTCAGTAAAAAAAAAATGGCCATGAAACCAGGGCGAACCCAAAGCGGCAGAATAAAAAAGAAGTTGTACAAATCTGGTCTCTCTCACACACACACACCTACCGGATCATAAGACGCATCTCCAACGTTTGCTTTAATCACAATGTGGAGAGAATAAGTATGCGTGTATTTGTTTGGGTCTTTATTTCATTTGCAGGTTACATGGCACCGATGTCAACTTGGACGACCCCCTCACCAGCATGAACGCTGACAGATGATACCACGTTTTCAACAAAGATGGCAGCCACTTTATTAAGGCCTCTTGAGAAAACCGAGGCAAACTGAAGTGTTTTGGCTAGCCATCGAACATTTTTGCTAGCCATCGAACACAGATGGTCACTACATCGCGCGGCACTTTCGGATGCGCTTCTGCGGCCGTCTGGAACGCTCTTTCTTTCGATATTAGGGAGCCTCTGATGCTAAGGTCTTTAAAATCTAGATTGAAAATTCATTTCTTTGAAACTGCTTTTTGCGTTTAATTTGTCCTTTCCTCGCACCTTCGAATAGCACTGTTGGCAACGTACGGTGGTGCGAAAGAAGTTCAACATACACACAAGTATAAAACCAAATATAATTGTTTGTACAGTCATTGGTGACCAAAGGCTGAGACCATCAACTCACTAACATTGAGAACCCGGTTTATTCACAGCTGGATGATACCCGCATTCAAACACAAGATCTCAGGCAGTGTTAAACATTCTTCAACACAGTCATCCAGACACTGCAAAGTTGGATTTTTAAAATTTTTACTCAGTTCCAATTGTGCTTTTGCCATGATGTCAAATAGATGAAGCAATTTCCACTTCCAAACTTCTTGAAGCGAGCAGTGTTACCACCCAGTGTCAGAACATATCTCCGGAAGATGTCAAAGAAATACTTCTGAAGACGACTACTGTACTTCAAAGATGCCTCTTTATTCACACTAGAGGCAAACCTTTCACATGCCCTGAAAAAGTGTTCGCACATGCTGATCAAAGCAAACATTTTTTGTAATATTTCCAAATGAATCGAACACGAAACTTGTATGCTATGGGTTTTTTTGTTTGTTTTGGCGCCGTCATTTGGGTGACCGAGCTGAGGCCGTCAACTCTCCCTACACTCGAGGACAGCGGCGGTTAAATTGTGGGAGGTTGAAACTTGGGTTTCCGACCCAGGGATCTCAGCGACGCCGGGCGAAGTCCGTAACCTCCCGAGCAAAACCCTGGGCACTGCATTGTTGCAATATTTAAATGGTCGCAGAGTGTGCATTGCCAAGAGCTGGGACGACGATTCGAGATCAAGTCGATGTATCCGCTTAGAATTATCGTCGGCTACTTCATTTCGAAGTACATTTACCCGGGCTCCATTTACGCCCGACCTCCCGTCCAGCGTCACACGCCGGGGGAACAGAAGGGAGACTTTTTTATTGTTCTTTTCTCCAAACTACATTCGTGAGCACTCGAACCGATAGTTCATTCGAGTGATCGATCGCTTGATCATCGGATATCCCAGCTCTGAGGCCCATCACAAGCCACACACACGCGCGTGGTAGAGCCAGGTTGCCCGTCCTCTCAAATTTATCTGAAATGTTTATTTTCGAAGAGGGCTCGCTATGATTTTACTGGGCTCGGGGCAGGCCACGATGTTCTTCCGTGATTGTAATTCGCAATTTACAAACGTCTGCAGCCGAACGTCGATTTAAGACTCTACAGTATTCAGATATTCGGATCGTTAAGACGACGCACCATGGGCTGCGAGAAGGAATCATGAAAGGGTTAAACAACAACAAAACTTGAAATACGTTTTCAAAATTATTTTCTTAACGGCCTGAGACAATTCAGGTGTTTTCTAGAAATGCATAAATTATTCTGACGCTGTTAAAAATACTGCACTGTACAGAACATTAAGACTTAAGAAATAAAAACAAAACCTTGGGTTTTATATTCATTGCTGTTTAATAACGGTGTGAGATGGTATTGATTGATGCCAGGGAGACAGAAATTAGAAATACTCACAAAGGGAGATTAAGACTTTGAGAGATGGACATTTAGAAAAGGCACAGCAAGGCATAGGGGATATGAGTAGATGTAAGAGAAATATATAAAAATAGAGATGATGTGGATATATTTAAGACGTAAGTAGGAAGAGGGGCGAGAGACGTGACGGAGAGTGCGTGAAGTTGCCGTGGTTCACGCACACTGTGCTACAAACCAGGTGTTCAGCGTTCGATTCCCGGCCATGGCTAACATCATCTGCCGGTGATATCGGAACCTGTCCCGGGCCCCACACGGTCTCTCCCCCTCCACTCTCGCCTCACCCTCACCAACCCGCACTTGTGAAGTATGGTCTTACAACCCCCATGACTGACAAGGAGAGTGCAGGTCTTCATCCAGCAGTGGATTGACAAAAAATAAAAAGTGGGGGGGGGGAGTTTGCTTACTAAACAGAGATGGAGTGATGCGGTATGGAAATTCGTAAGACGTGTACAAGGTTCATTAAGACGCAGAGGGACGTAGATACACAAGGTAGAGTGTAGAGGCACAAGCATAAGGCCAACTTGTATCGTTTGAAAAATGTAAAAAAAAGGTTTAAGACATTAAGGTTTTTTTAAGAGTTCCAGATTTTTTTTGCGTTTTCATTCACACAAGCAAAAAAAAATTCCCAGGAATATGATTGGCGAATTATGTAATTGTGTAAAATTATTTTTAAAAGCCAGGTTTTTTTATGGGGTTTGGTGAATTTGGGATAAAATTAAACACACGGAGATTTCAAGGAATCGGACTTTGTCCCTATTGCAATAGTAACGTCCCTTTGGAACTAAGTGCTACATCAGATGCTTAACAACTGTCACCGTGTGTGGCCACCTTTGGGGGAGACAGAGGCGGCCGGGGCGTGCTCCCTCGCCACACCACCCGTTCGTGGCTGCACCGTGGTAGCCTTCACTGGCGCTGGCCAAAGCAGCGCTTGCCTCCAACAAAGGGCAAAAACATTGCCGAGCGTGTGACCCCCCCCCCAATGCTGTAAGCGCGGGTACTCCCTAGCGGCGTTAGCACGCGTCTTCGAACCCAGGGCCAGTGACGTTCCATGAACGCAAGCGGCAAAATCCATTGAGCCCACTCTAAAATCACTCTTAAGAGCCAAGCGGAGACTGAGCTCACTTCATAGCCAGCATCATGGCCAACGGGCACCGGATGATGTTGTAGGTTATGAACGTCAGTGGGGGGGGGGGGGGGGGGGGGGGTTAAAGGTGCAGCCCTGCAATGTCTTGCTCAAGGCACTGCCTCTAGATCAGTGTTCTTCACTACTTTACAGAGGGGGGGGGGGGCATTTTGGCTGATAAGACATCAGATCAGCGTGAGGGCCGCCACACCGCCTGCAAGGGTTTTTTTCAAATGCGTTGTATTGTCGGGGACCGCACGTTAGGGGCCGCACTAAAGGGCAGCAGGGTCCGCCAGTTGCAATGAAGAACACTACTCGAGAGAGTGTATGGCCTACTCTTCCATGCTTCAGTAAGCTAGATTTCATTGGGCCATATATTTTAGAAACCAAAACCCATAAATCCTGGCGAGATGTTATGGAATAAATGTATTAATTTTTTTTCTTCATTTGAGGGTAAATATGAATTTAGTTTTCCTGGAAATATTTATTTTGGTTGAAGTGGGTAAAAGCCAAAAAACTCGGAAGTGTTTAAGACATTGTTAAGTATTTGGTGACTCAAGTTAAGCGGTTCCTATATTTGCGATCGGTAGTGTATTACTACGTTCCTGAATTCTTTCCATACCAGCAATGTCTTGTACAGACCACTGTTCAAAAATGCATTATCATACTGCATTGTAAACCGCCTGTTTAGGATCTAAGTACTGAGTTTACGCAAAGCCTACCTAGGCCATAAGTTTACACGCCTTCATTTGTAGTTTTCTTTGAAATTATTCAGCATTATTAGTATTATTCAACTTCCCACTTACACACACCAATGTTGTTCATCTATAAATACTTGTTACAGCACAAGAAAGTAAAGTGCTACTCAGTGTCACGTGCAAAAAATCGTTTTTGGCACAATCGAGACACCATAGCAATATTCGCGGGACTACTTTTTTTGTCGCTCATTAAAATCGGTCTAATATGTCAACTAAAAAAAAGATGACGCAAAAAAGTTATAGTAAAACGAACGAGACTCGGAAAGGCAGTAAAACAGTTCAGAATCTGACTGTGGTCTAAGATGATCTATAAACATTAACAGTTGCGGACTAACAGAATCAAAATTCAGTCGATTCCAAAACAACAAAGCCCCGGATGAGGCCTGTGGTCAAAAAAAAAATCAATACTTGTTGCGTGGGACTAGTTCACTAGGCCTACTTGTCTATAGCAAGCATTCAAGGGCTGCTTCAAAGGCAGCAATAACAACGAAAGAAGAGGAAAACAAGTTAACACTTTTTCGCAACACTTTTCTTCGTGTGTGCCGTTGCTGATAAAAACAATCCCTTTTACAAGAAACGTCAAAACAAAAAAAACGCATCTCGTACTGAGGTCGTCTCAAGATTACAAGCGAAGTCACCGGAACGCACGCGTCCATTTGCTTTTACTGCTAAGCGTTGAGCTCGTTGTGAAACTTAAACGCAGCGAAACCAACCCCCCCCCCCCCTTTTTTGCGCTTCCACGAAAGTCAAAACAGTTTGTCCCAGCGCCAACAACGGCGAGACTCTCACTCGTCGTTATAGGCCCAACATTAAATTACTAATTTTGACTAATTTTGATTCCCGACTTACGGCTCGCGCTGCCGTTACCCGAAATAAGCTTGGACCGTGCAAGCGCTTCGTTGTCGTCTCATTATTAGTCTTTGTTTTGCCGTGCGTCGTTAAATTTTTTGATTAAATTTAAATCACCCCCCCCCCCCCCCAAACCCCGCTTCGTCCACCCGCACCACCTTCGCTCTCGGGAGTCAATAATCAGAACATAGATTTATACTGGAGGAATCCGACGAGCTATAAAAACTCTTCCCCCCTCCAACAGTTGTCCCAGTAGGAGTCAGTTTCCCGCGAGGCCGAATCCGCCGTTGTCGGAGTGCACGGTCTCCCCTTCGCTCTCGTAGTCCGAGGCGGCGCCCCGCGCCTCGTCGTAGTCCTCGTAAAGCCGCGCCTCCTCGCCGTAATACTCGTCCTCGGCCTGACGCGCCGTGCCCCCCACTGCCACCACCCCACCGCCGCCGCGGTAGTCCATCCGCTCGAAGTCCCGGCGGCCCCCCAGGGTCTCCACGCGCACCGCGGCAGCGCCCCCGCCGCCCAGGCCCAGGCCCAGGCGGCCCGCCGCCAGCGCGTGCACGTGGAAGGGCCGCGGGCCGCAGTCCGGGCTCGCCGAGCCGCTCGAGCACTCCGATTGGACGCGTGACGGAGAGTGGGCGGCGGGGCCCGCTGCCGCCGAGGAGGCCGGGCCCCCACCGCTCGTCACCATGGCGATGGCGGAGGGATACACCGAGCCGGGCTGCGTGAGCGGCACCTGCGACGTGGGACTATTCGGAAGGAAAGAGCACAAGGGGGCGGGGGGGGGGAGGTTTTTGTAATGGTTAGACGAGGGATGGGTTTTTGTTGTTTAAATGCAAATGTTGACATCTTTGCAGATATTGTAATTAAGCGGTGTTTTTGCCTTCGGACCCGGTACACATGCAACGTTGATGCAACGTTGGGACAACGTTGGGACAACTTTGGCATGTGGTTCCAACGACATGCCGACGTTGGGCCGGCAATATTTTATTTTACATCCACCTCGTACACGCAAAGCTCCGCCGTTTAGCCTTCGACGGACTTGTGAGTTGCTTCCTTTTAGCGAGCACCGACGAAAAACGCCGGCTCGGCACCCAAATGGCCGCCGTGTGCCAATTACCACGCGCGGCTGCGGACAGTTTTAACGCCGCAGCAAGGCGCTTGTGTAAGACCGAGCCAAACGGTTCGAACATCACTCGCCACTGATAAAAGGCCTGGCCAGAAATCAAAACTCACCGGGTTTATACTCGCAATGCACTGCGCCATTGCTTGTTATGCAAAGAAAAAGATCCGCCGTATAGCCTTAACAGACTGTTGGGACAAGTGCTGTCAGCGAGCACCTATGAAGGCCGGCACGGCACACGAGGGGGTGGGTGGCCAGCACCACGCCCGGCCGCCTTTGTCTCCATAGTGGTGATGTTTACACACCACACCAAGTACTCATTTGAGGCTGAGTCAACCTGGGGGAGGCCCATGACAGGTTCAGATCATCGCCGCCACTGGTGTTGGCCGTGAGCGGGAATCGAACTCTGATTTGCCGGGTTCGTAGCGCAGCGAGATAACTGTTACACTACCGCTCCACACACAGACAAAGATGCACACACACGTACGCACAAACAGCGCGACCAAAGGTGAGACGTTACGGTGACATTGTGGTATGCGCAGAAGATCGCAAAGGCAAGCAGTGGGGCGTAGTCAAGGACGGTTATGACTTTCCAGGGCGACTACACCAATGCCCACCAGTTAACTACTCACCATCGCCAACATCTGCTTACCTGACGTACCACAACGTAAACACGACCCCGGAGGGCATCCGTGTGACCCACCAACCGCTAGCTACGATAACGCCTTTCATTAAACGTGTACATAACATTCGCTCATTACGATCACTCACCACGAGGCTTATTCTGCAAAGGAAGTCCATTGAACGTCAATACTATTGGTTTGTTGTCCTTCCCCCGCACCTCCGATTTGCACGGTTGGCTACGTACGGTGCGAAATAAGTTAAAAATACATACATGCATGTTATTTGTTTCGTTTATTAATTTGCACGTATTTTCATATTCTGCCCGAGATGATCGCATGACGAAGACGAACAAAAGCATCCGCCAACTTGGTTTAGCAGCTGCACAAGACTGGGGGGAGACACTGTGTCAATAAAGGGTGGCTGTCATCCAGCAGTGGAGAACGAACGGCTGCTGCTGATGCTGGTGCCGATGATGCTCGCTGTCTTTCACAATTATCATTCCCCACCGTCTAAACACATCCACGGAGAACGAGAGGAGCGACGGAGAAGAGACACATGTAACAACTGTTGCCTTTTGCTATGCCAACAACAGTTGGGCCCCGTCTCTATTCAAGGAACGCTATGTGAAAGTGTCGGGGATCCGACACCAAATATAACCGTCGGATTAAGAAGTCGTAGCTAAAACACTGCTCTCGGCTACCGCCGCCCCCCCCCCCCTCCTCCTCTTCCCCTCTGCGCGAGAGCCTCGGATTGTCGTCGAATCTCCGCCGCGATTCGTCGCCGGGATAATTCAATGTTCTCGCTTCCTTCGCCGACCCGAACGTTAAAAGCACCCCCACCCTCCCCACTCCCCCCCCCCCCCCGCCACCTCGGAACACCGGTGACCAACTTGAAACTACAAGTAAGTGGCCTCACCCACCTCCCCAACACCCCCCCCCCCACACTCCCCCCTCCCACCCCCCACACACCAAATCACGAAGGAGGTCTTTGGCTTTGACCCGCCGGGCATGCTGGGGCAGATCTCGAGTGCGCAGGCGTTGCAACGAGCGGTGGTGTGGACACGTTGGGGGCCCTGAGCAGATATTATTTTTGGGTGCCCCCCTCCCCACTTCTCCCGCCCCCCCCCCCTCCCCACCTCGCCCATTCTCCGCTCTTCCTTTCAATGTATACATTCCGAGTGAGATGGAAAAAAAAGATATGTGGACAAGAGATGGAGTGAGATGAGAGAAGCATGGACAAGAGACAAGAGATGGAGTGGGGATGAGAGATAAAGAAGAGATGACGATCCAGTGAAGTGATAAGAGATGTCGGTGAGAGGTAGAGGTGCAGTGACGTGAGAGATAGAGACGTACGAGTGAGACAGAGTGAGATAAGAGAAATGTGGATGAACAAATCGGGAGCCCCTTGAACCACTTGGGGGCCCTACGCATTTGCTTGGTTCGCTTCCTATGCCTCGCGCTGCCATGCGTGTGCGCGTGTGTGGACACAAAGGGGCCCCGTGACATTGTGTCTCAGAGTCTGCTGGCTCTTTGGCTGGCTTCCCGGTGGAAATTAGCGGCGTTTATTTCAATGAATGGCTGTGTTTGTGAATGTAAGCGAGACGCGAGTGGAAGGGACAACGTGATGATGATGACGTTTTAACACGCAGCAGGAGGCTTTCGCGACCAATATCATCCAATTAGCTAAGGCTTCTCACGTAAACAGAACGTGCCAATCCGTTACTAGTACGGCACGCCGGTGTGGTGGAGAGTCAAGCCACAAAATGTACAATCTAAGCACGACGTTTCACACATCTGGCTGTCATCTGATGAGGCTGGTTGTAGTTACTGGTCGAAACGTCGTGCTCAGACTGTAAATGTTGTGGCTCTCCTCTCCAACACACCGGCGTGCTGTACTCGTAACGGATTGGCACGTTCTGTTCATGTGACAAGCCTTGCTAATTGGCTGTGTCGGGTGGTGGCGGGTCTAACGACACATTCATATATTTACGCGATCTAACCCCAAAAAAACCTAAATTTTGGATAATGATGATGATGATGACGTCACTCCACCGCTTGGGGGAGAAGAAGAAGAAGAACCGACCTGGGTGGGTAGAGCTGTGCGGGGCCGCCCTCGCGGCGCGAGCGCATCAACGCCTTGTACTCGCCCACGCGGAGCCGGCGACCATCCACGATGCACGTGCGCTTGGGCCGCGGCCGGTACTTGTAGCCCGGGTAGCGCTCCAGGTGAAGCTTGCTGAGCCGTGCCTGCTCCTCGTAGTACGGCTGCTTCTCCTGGCTCGACATGGCCTTCCAGCGGGAGCCTACAGCGGGGACAGACAGGGGGAGAGGGCGTGAGTGGTAGGCCTGCTCGTCCGGGCTCGACATGGCCTTCCAGCGGGAGCCTACAGTGGGAAGAGAAAGGGGGGCGAGAGTGGGAGAGAGGGAGAGAGTGGTAGAGTAGGGCTGCTTCTGCTGGCTCGACATGGCCTTCTTGCGGAAGCCGGCGTGCGGACAAACACACGCCGTTACCGCCGTTACCCGCATTGTGTCATTGCTATTGGTAAACCAGGAAAGTCTCACTTGACACTTAACTTTCTGGAAAAAAAGGTATTTTGTGGGTTATCAAGATATTCTAGGACACCTCTTAATTGGAATGGCAAGGGACAGAAACCTGGGATGTGAAGATCGTGGTGTCTGTGCCTTGAAGTCCGACAGATTACCGCTCCACACCAACTCTCGAGTGACACGTGACGAACGTAATAGTTGGCGACGGTAGGTCCTTATTTTGACTGCTATTTCACCCAAGCCCAAACAAAATATCTCACATTAAGAGATTTGTGCGAGTACAAAAGGATTACGTGCGGATTTTGCGGTGAGTGACGCTGCTGGCCATGAAGCATTTTATACGATCGTTTTTGGGAGGACGCCCCACATCGCTTAAATGACCATTCATTTGTCATTTTGCGTAAAATTGGGAAAGAACGTCATGTAAATAAACACGTTGGTGCACGGGATGTGGCCGGATGGCGCAAAGGTCAGAGGTCGGAGCTGACTACTGCTGTTATATAGAATCCAGGTTTCAGCCACCTGAAACGGATAGACCCACGGACTTGCGTATACACCCATAGACTGACATAGACTGAGTTGTGATTGAACCAGGTTCTCTCAAGTGTAGCGAGTCTCAGCCCAGTATCAGTGACTGCACAACGACAACAAAAACAACCCATCGCAAAAAAATGTGGTTGCGCACTTAACTTACATAAATTCCGGCTCTCCAGAAATTAAATGTTGGCTCGACTATCGTGCGACGAATGTTACTCTCGTATGCCGAGCGGGTGGGAAAGTGCTGCCCTCCACCATGTGTGGACGAGAGATCACTTGAAGGGATCTCAGAGGTAGCTCTGCACTATCCCCTTCCGCGGGCCCGTTCTCCAACAACGAGAATTGCAATGCCCTCTGAGTGTTCTGAAAGGGTTCCTCGTCGCAAGGTGTGTTAAAGCCGACAACACAATCGGAATATTTGGGTGGAATTGACAAAAATAACAATCGGCGGGTTCGTCAATAACACCGCGTGGCCTGGAAAGAAAAAATATATAATAGGTGACGTTTCGGGCAATGTTCCTTCTTCATGGCGCATAAAACAAACAAATCAGCTGGTAATGCTATCAACTGTTTTTATTTTACCAGGTAAGGCCCACTGAGCTGTATAGCTCTTTTTCAGAAGTGACCTGGCCACGAATGATAGCTCAATGAAGTGGCTTATCACGTGGACTTTTATAGCAGCCGAATACTCTGAACGCACGTTCAGGGCCCGGAGAAAAATCCACGCGACCACGGCGAGAGAGACACGCGCACTCCAAATACACGCCAGGCGTCAGGGTCCGGATTGAACCCACGACCTCCTGTATACCAGGCGAGGGCGTTAACATCTCGCCACCGCGGCGCCGCATGCCACTTAACGAGTGGAAAACGCAAACAAAAACAGGTTACAATGCGTTTCTGTTAAACCGTTCAAAGCGAGCCTCTGTGGAATTACATCACTTAGTGGTTTCTCTTCTTTAACCCGGGTGCCATTAAATGACACATCCACGCGCCGCGTTAATAATTTGACCACCGCCAAATTAGTGTTTTGTTATGGTACCCGGCCACCGTGCTCTCACAAGAACGTGTGCCTCGTTCGTCGCTCTACTGGTGCCCGTGGGTCACGCTGCTCGGAGCATAGAAGATGGATCGGAGTACAGTCCAACGGTGGATTTTTCTGCACCGCCCTCTGCTGTCAACATAGCCCTGCTATATCGCTGGTGGTTGCCCATCCAAGGAGCAATCCAAGGCTCAATGAATGCCTCTTTAAGTTATTATTCATGCATCACCATAATATTTGTTCATCAAAACACAGATCGATCCGCAGTGTTTCTAAATGATAAACCTGCTTACGCGAATAATATAACAACTGCTTAGCGATTGAGCCCTTATATATGTATATTTGTAAGTGTCTGAGCACAGTAGGCCCAGAGACCCTAAACGTCACACAGCCAGCCACAAACAGCACTCTCAACCTAACCCAAAAGAAACCAATTATGAATCGTAATAATGGTCGTAAAAGCCTACATATGAAGTTAGCACGTGTAAAATTAGAGTTAAACAAGTGAATTGTGTTGAGCAACATGATTATTATTATTAGGGGCTTCTATCCCAATTCTTATTTCTTGTCGGTGAACGTGCGACACTCTATTCACCTGTGTATGTATGCAAGTTGAACTTACGTACGTAGCCAACCATGCTAACCGGAGGTGCGGGGGATCTAACCCAACCGCGTACAGCGTACGGCATGTGTTTTGTCACGTGTCGTGTGTCACGTGTCGTGTCGTGTGTCGTGCCGCGTGCCATGTTGCATGTCGCATGTCGTGTTGTTGTCTGTCATGCCGTGTGCCATGTTGCATGCCGTGTGTCGTGTCAAGTGTCGTGTGTCTTGTGTCGTGTGTCGTGTCGTGTGTCGTGTCGTGTGTCGTGTCTCACGTGTCGTGTCTCACGTGTCGTGTGTCACGTGTCGTGTCGTGTGTCACGTGTTGTGTCGTGTATCGTGTGTCACGTGTCGTGTGTCGTGTGTCGCGTGTCGTGTGTTGTGTGTCACGTGTCGTGTCGCGTGTCGTGTCGTGTCGAGTGTCGTGTGTCGTGTCTCACGTGTCGTGTCGTGTGTCACGTGTCGTGTCGTGTGTTGTGTCGTGTCACGTGTCGTGTCGTGTGTCGTGTCGCGTGTCGTGTCGTGTCACGTGTCGTGTCGTGTCGTGTGTCGTGTCGTGTGTCGTGTATTGTGTCACGTGTCGTGTCGTGTGTCGTGTCGTGTGTCGTGTCGTGTGTCGTGTTGTGTGTCGTGTCGTGTGTCACGTGTTGTGTTGTGTGTCGTGTGTTGTGTCGTGTCACGTGTCGTGTCGTGTGTCGTGTCGTGTGTCACGTGTCGTGTCGTGTGTCGTGTCGTGTCACGTGTCGTGTCGTGTGTCGCGTGTCGTGTCGTGTGTCGTGTCGTGTGTCACGTGTCATGTCGTGTGTCGTGTCGTGTGTCGTGTCGTGTCACGTGTCGTGTCGTGTGTCGCGTGTCATGTCGTGTGTCGTGTCGTGTGTCACGTGTCGTGTGTCGTGTCGCGTGTCGTGTCGTGTGTCGTGTGTCGCGTGTCGTGTCATGTGTCGTGTGTCGTGCCGTGTGTCGCGCACGTGCCACTAATTCAGAGGGAGCCACTCCCTCCTCTAATATGCTAACAATGCTGCCACGCGGCACAACGTAGTTTGGCTGAAGCAAAGAGGCATCGCAAGCACACAAACGGGTTGCAGCCCGCGCCGCCAACTCTTCCGCTGCAGACCAAACCCAGTCACGCGTTCCTCGGTTGGCCTAGGCCTATCGTCAGGCCCGTGCAGTCATGCTGCGACGGAGTTCTGCGCAATACCGGTAGCAGATCTCGGCGCGGAACAGTTCCTGCTGCCCGAACACAGGCGCCAATTCCCAGACTGTCCGGGTCGGGGCCATTTCCGGGTGGCCACCCTCCTCCTCCTCCTCCTTCCAGCTCGCGTAATAGGGCCGGGTTGTCGCAGCTTGCAGTCAAATTAAAGGTCCGCGCAAGTGGGCATGCCCACGCGTGCAGTGCTTTGTTTCAAATTATCCGCGACGTTTCGTTTTGTTCTTTTCTTTCAGCGACTCGCCGACGGGCGCCGGCAACGATCGGAGGTCGCCGCGTGCGTGCGCGCGATCCCGCGAGCACGCCGTGCGATGGAAGATCCCGCGGGCACGTCGCGTCATCCTCTTGGTGCTCAATATCGTCGCGCCGTAATCGCCGTCGCTCGTCGAGACGCGAAACATTTACGGCGTCAGAATGATTCACGTTCTAGAAAATGTGACTCTTGCCCCCGGTGGAACGCTTATTCACGCTGGCCTCGCGATCTCGAGGTCACTGGTTAGGTTCGGATACAGCGCGAGGTCGGCCATGGCCGGGAATCGAACTCGGGCGGCCAGGCTCATAGCACGGTGTGCTGAGCCCGCTATGCCGCCGCTCCCTCTCAATGATTTAGCCGGTCGTTTGATTTTTTTTTACTTTTACTACGCACGAGGTTTCGACGTATTATGGCAAGGAATGATTGTTGTCGGACACGCAGCGACGATCGGCGTTCATGTAGCGGGCGATCCACTGGTAAGCGTGGTACCACTGGTGGATTACTTCGATTCGCTCCCCAAGGCCACGTGGGTTCGCTGCCAGAGCGAGACGCTCATGACGGGAAGGTTTCAGGTTCAAATCCTGGTTGTGGGTTTTTTTTAGACTCAGCCCATCGTCCCCCCTAGGGTCGACAAAACGAGTGCCACTTTGTGGGGACGTGAGCGGCAGTTCGTCCTGCGAATTAGACTCACCCCCTAGACCTTTAAAAAAACAAAAAAAGCTAATTTTATTGACTTCCGTGCACTTAATTTACACTTCCGTGTGGAATACAACAGCGGTTGCCTCACCCCCCCCACCAGAGGATTGTGGAATTTCCACCACTGGCTCAGGGCTGGTAACGGGAAATGGGCACTTGCCTCAGTACTCGCTCATTTGAGTCCCCGGAATAGGTGACAACTACGAGGTGACAACATCACCACCATTACCACCAGGACTTGCCAGGCGTTGTATGCGTCGGGGTGGGGGTGGCTTCACTTTGGTAGCCATCAGGTGGCGGTGCCGAGTGTCAACCCCCCCCACCCCCCCCCCCCTCATGTTCAGCGCCGTGCTGGGTTCTCTACCGGGCTCTACGGTTTGCTCCCCACACGAAGCCCAAGAATAAATCCTCGGGTTGGCCAAACATTCCAACGTAGCGGGACTCTCCTGGAAAAAAAGAATGCCGGAGACTCGCCGGCACTTTCCCGGCTAATTAATCGGTATAGTAAACAACAAAAATTTAGTCCGTCCTGTTAATTCGACGATCTGCTGGGCTTCGATGAAATTGGAGGGGGGGAAAAAAAAACTAATTTGCTTTGTGTCTCGACTCCGACGGCACGATTGAGTTATAATTTAGTGGTCGCCTGGAACCTAACCACAAGAATGTTAAATGGCAGCGAAGTGAAAAGCCTCCACTTCCCCCCCCCCCCGCTTAGCCATCGCACACAAGATAGGAGGGGGCCAGGGCGCTCGTGCTTTTGGATAATTCCACGGGATTTGCTCAGACAAGTTACGCGTGCGATGGATGTGTCCGAGCGCTCACGCTTTAGCAATGCGGTTAACACGCACGCGCGCGCGTCAATTGTCGCTGTCCGCGTGTGCGTGCGCGCGTCTCCACACGGAGCTGTTCCCTCGGGGTAACATGATGAATCGGGGCGACTGACCTGGGCCCCGGGCTTTGGGGGAGGGGGGGGGGGCGGCCCGCCTATGGTTCCACGTCATGGTGTCAGATGGAACACTTCCGGATTAGTTTGAAAGCGTCGGGGGGGTCCACACGGTCTGGTTTTCCCCGGGCTCCGTACCACCCTTTATAACACAATTATAAATAATGCGATCTAACCCAAAAAAACTTTATTATGACTATGTATTTTTTGTTGTGGTAACGCTCTGACCCCATGCCCCTACTGGACATCTGTGAACAAGCGCTTTACAGCTCGTCGGATTCCTCAGGTATAAATTTATATTATGATTCTGATTCTGTTTAACGTGCTCGTTTAACGTGATGTTTCGTGCTGGCAAAAGTGATGTCACCCGATATCACGTGACTTCACGTTCCATGGGAAAAGAGCGGAAATGATGTCACTTCCTGTGGCATCGTGTTTTCGGATCAACATTCAGAGTCAAATATTAACTTTCGTATAGTCCACAGTTTCGTATCTAGGCCAGATTTTAAAACGCTTCAGATTAATCCTCAAATCAGGAACACGCCCTTGATACACAGTATATGTATGCGCACGTGTGTGTGTGTGTGAGAGTCTGTGTGTTTGTGCACAAGTGAACGGTAGTGTAGCGCGACAAGCCCGGTGACCCGAGTTCGATTCTCGCACACGGCCACCACCAGTGACGATTATCTAAACCAGTCCTGGGCCTCGCCTAGGTCAATTCAGCCATAAATCAGGACCTGGTGCGGTGTGTAAAAATATCCACTGGGGATACAAAGGCAGTGGGGCGTGGTGCTCACCACCCACCCCCTCGTGTACCGTAGTTGCTCGCTAACGGCACTTGCCCCAACAGTCTTGCTCGAGTTGCGCACGTCTCTAGCGAGCGTGACTATGGGGGTGAGTGTGGGGGGGGGGGCGAGGCCGAGTGTGACGCTCACCCAGGATCTTGCTGATGCTTGAGTTGTGCATGTCGGGGAAGGCCTGCAGGATCTTGCGCCGCTCGTCCTTGGCCCAGACCATGAACGCGTTCATCGGGCGCTTGATGTGCGGCTCTCCCGCGTGCCGGCCTCTGCCGTCACGGAACACCTTGGCGTCCCCAAACACGCCGCCGCCTGTCGCAGGGGCGAGCGGGAGATGCACGACAAACGCAATACCTGCGTGTGTGCGTGCGTGCGTGCGTCTGTCTGGAAGTCAGTGCGTGCTCTGTATGTCAGAGTCTGTACAAAGGGGCATCTCGGTCGGTCAACCCATGGCACCCGGGTCTGTCCCGTGGCCTCCTGTCAGCGAGCCTTCGACACTTCGCGTGGCCTCAAAGTGCACAGGCGGCGTGATGACGTCACTGCCACTTAGCGGCGACTGTCGGGTTCTGTTGTTGTTGTTGTATGTCAAGTGTGTGTATGGGGGAGCGGTAGTGTTGCGGTTAGCGTGCTGTGCTACGAACCCCGCAACTCGAGTTCGATTTCCGCTCACAGCCAACACCGGTGACGAACCGGTCATGGGCCTCGCCTAGGTTGACTCAGCATTAAATGAATACCTGGTGCGGTGTGTACACATCAGCACTGGGGAGACAAAGGCGGCCGGGCATGTGCCGTGCCAGCCTTCATATGTGCTCGCTAACAGCACTTGCCCCAACAGTCTGCTAAGGCTATACGTGTATCTGCGCCTTTATCTCTGTATGTGTGTGCCTCCATGGGTGTGCCTGTATGTCAGTATGTGTCTGTATGTATGTCAGTGTGTGACTCGATGCGTGTATATGTGGGGAGCGGTAGTGCAGTGATTAGCATGCCCCGCTCGGCCTAGGTGTGCGCATTGTACCACTGAACATGCAAAGTACGAGAGAGTTAAGATAACCGTGCATTTACCATCCATCTCCTCGCTGGATGCCCGTTCCACTCCACCGAGGCCCGACTTCCCATCATCCCTTGCCTCTCCCATCATCCTTTGCATGAGGCTCTCCAGAGCAAGCTTCTCCTGCAATGCATAATAAGAAAGGTGGCACCATTATCACACCGAGCAAAAGTCATGTACTCGTCACTGCTGGACCAGGGCCAGTTTCCTAGAACTGTCAATATCAGGCTCTTGGAGAATGTGGTACAGAAAAGCTTGGGATAGTATAATCTGTCCCTTCTGTATGGGATAGAGTGTTTCCCCCTCACATGTGTTGGGTTTTCTCCGGGTGCTCCGGTTGCATCCCACTCATCCCTTGGCTAAAAACATCTGAATTATTCGAGGATTTTCAGAGCTTATACAATCGTTGGTAGCTGCCAGCTCACTCCCGTTTCACTTACAATCTGTGTCAAGCAGCTTTAGCACAACAAGCTCCAGGAAGTCAAAATAAAATTCAGCAAGTCAGAATAACTGTGTCACCTTACCCGGCTTCTTTAAATTGGAGTCATGATCTCATAGGAACAACCAAAACTATAAAACCACCAACCAAAACCTGTTACAAATTAATGCATTATAATTGTATTCTAATTTATTCACGCCAATGATGAACAAAATATGCACGATTCATTATAATTATAAAGAATATATGAGCCTACTCGTTATGGTTATAAGGTGTGCTCTGATAATTATCATTATTACATATATTATAATAATAAATGCACGTAGAAATGATCAGAGCGAGCATGCTGATGGCTTGGCATCGAACTGCATGGGCATTATTATGCCCTTCAAGAGTCAGAGCGATCTCATGCTCAGATTAGCATTGATACGGTGCTCATCACCTGTGCACAAACCTGAGCCAGTGGTGAAAATTCCTCATTCTCATGGCGGGAGGCGAGTCTGTCCAGAGGTCAACCACTGTTTACTGCCCCACAAAGTGGCCACTCATTTTTCCGCTCGCCGAACCGTTGAGCCAGATGCTCCCCTTCGGGTGTGGGGCCTTACCGTGACACACCGGCCGCTGTTGATGAGTGCAGCAGCAACTTTCCCATCATGCCTCGCTGCACGCTCCTGCTTTACCTCTGGGACCCGGTGCTGAGTCTGGGCCGTGAGGCCTTGATGCAGCATTCCTGCGCGGGGCGCGACACGCGCACACACACGACACGTACAAGCACACCCACACATACGCGACACATACAACAACACGCGCGCACATGCGCGCACACACACGCAGGTACACACACGCAGACACACACACGCACACACGACACGTACAACCACACCCACACACACGCGACACATACAACATCACGCACACACGCACGCGCGCACACGACACGTACAACCACACACACGCACACACAAAAAGGCAAAGATTATTAATTACTATTAATCTATGACTTAAATATCTGTGCTCTATAACCATATTAGCCTATACAAGCTAGAGTGGTATGAATCTATAAAATCTGCAGCTGTATGAACAAACATAATCTGTAGGAATACTCTAGAATCTGCAGTGGTATAAAACATATAAATCACAATCAATTCTTAAATATTCTTGGTTCTTTCGGTAAAGTCACGTAGATAGGAAAAAATAATCAAAATAATAAAATTTAATTATTTTCAACTGATAATTTATATTTATTATTATTTTTTGTTTTTGTTTTCTATCTACGTGACTTTACTGAAAGAACCAAGAATATGAATTCCTGCAGTCACGAAAGTCTTACGTCGCGACCAGTATGATGCATAACATAAATGTGTCGTTAAACCCGCCACCAGAACGTGGCCAATTCGTTATTAGTACAGCACGCCCGTGTGTTGGAGAGCCAAGCCACAACATTTACAATCCGAGTACGACGTTTCGCCAGTAATTACAACTAGCTTCATCAGGCGACAGCCTGATTTGTGGAGAAATCCTCCTGTTTCGTTCCTTAAATAGAGGGGTAGATGTGATGACGTCACTTGTGAGCCCTTCTTGAGCAAAGAGGGGGGGATTAATTAATGCATATAGATGATAATGGGTATCCATTGCAGGTTGGGTTATTTATATGGTGTTCAACGCACATTATGCATGTGCATTAGGCACCATACTTCAATGGGGATTACCGTTGAACAGAGCGAAACGTCGTACTCAGATTGTAAATGTTGTTGCATTGCTATCCAACACACCGGTGTGCCGCTGTACTCATAATGAATTTGTATGTTCTGTTTACGTGATAAACCTTACTTATTGGCTGTGTCAGGTGGTGGCGGGTTTAACGACACATTTATATATTTACGCGATCTAACCCAAAATAACCCATTCAATCGCTAGCCCTGCTCACTCGGCCACAAGCTTCGCCCACACAGTTTTTTTATTTTACCAGGTAAGGCCCCACTGAGCTATATAGCAGCTCTTTATCAGAAGCGACCTGGCTATTACAAATGATAGCTCAACGAAGTGGCTTATCATCATGTGGAAATTCATAGCAGCAGCCACTCACGAAAATTTTAAATGTGGAGGGAAAAACCGGAGGATCCGGAGAAAAATCCACGCGATCACAGGGATAACATGCAAACCTCAAATATACAGCCGGGGTCAGGGTTGGGACCGAACCCAGGACCTCCTGTATACCAGGCAAGGTAGTTAACGTCTCGCTATCGTGGCGAGATGCTTTTGTTTAACAATGTCAAAATTTAAGAGACCAAGATAACAGCAAAATACCGTTCAACCGGGGACACAAACAACAGACTTTCACAAAAGCGTCGGTTCTCGGTGACACGGGGATGGACTCTCTGAAGCAGTGTTTCTTCACTAATTTCCAGAGCGGGGTTGGGCACTTTTGCTGAGAAGACATCATCAGTGTGAGGGCCTTGATTTTGAGCTTTCGTGACTGCAGGAATTACTCTTTGGTTCTTTCGGCTAAAGTCACGTATAAATATTTTTTTTCTTTCTTTCCACGTGACTTTCCCGACTTTCCACGTGACTTTACCCACTTTCCACGTGACTTTACCGACTTTCCACGTGACTTTCCCGACTTTCCACGTGACTTCACCGACTTTCCACGTGACTTTACCGACTATCCACGTGACTCTACCGACTTTCCACGTGACTTTACCGACTTTCCACGTGACTTCACCGACTTTCCACGTGACTTTACCAACTTTGCACGTGACTTTACCGACTTTCCACGTGACTTTCCCGACTTTCCACGTGACTTTACCAACTTTCCACGTGACTTTACCGACTTTCCACGTGACTTTACCAACTTTTCACGTGACTTTACCGACTTTCCACGTGACTTCACCGACTTTCCACGTGACTTTACCGACTTTCCACGTGACTTTACCGACTTTCCACGTGACTTTACCGACTTTCCACGTGACTTTACCAACTTTCCACGTGACTTTACCGACTTTCCACGTGACTTTCCCGACTTTCCACGTGACTTTACCAACTTTCCACGTGACTTTACCGACTTTCCACGTGACTTTACCAACTTTCCACGTGACTTTACCGACTTTCCACGTGACTTTACCGACTTTCCACGTGACTTTACCGACTTTCCACGTGACTTTACCGACTTTCCACGTGACTTTACCGACTTTCCACGTGACTTCACCGACTTTCCACGTGACTTCACCGACTTTCCACGTGACTTCACCGACTTTCCACGTGACTTTACCGACTTTCCACGTGACTTTACCGACTTTCCACGTGACTTCACCGACTTTCCACGTGACTTTACCGACTTTCCACGTGACTTCACCGACTTTCCACGTGACTTCACCGACTTTCCACGTGACTTTACCGAAAGAACCAAAGTGTGTGAGGGCCGCCACACATTTGAAATCACTTGGGTTTTGTGACAGCAGCACGAAGATAATTTAATGGGGGGGGGGGGGGTGTTTTCGCTATTTGTGTATTGGCAGGGGCCGCACATCAGGGGCCGCCAGTGCCCTGCGGTACCCTACAATTAAAAACACCGCTCCCAGAAGCCATGGGGGGGGGGGGCCTGCCCCAGCCAAAGCGGGATGACGTTTGTTGGCTCTCTCCCCCTGCGGGTTTGTGGGGTTCTCACCGAAGGCGGTCATGTTGTTGCTGGCGCCGCTCGCTTTCCCCAGCACGGCGTGCAGCAGCGGCAGCACGGAGGAGGAGGGGGGCGGCCCCCCCCCCAGGCCCCCGCCCAGCACCTCCAGCATCGACGAGGCCGCCGAGTGAGCGCGTGATGACAGGTTTAACGGCTGCGGGGCCTCCTTGCGCACAGGACAGCGACACGCGGGGTAAATGAGCAGCCCTGCCATTGCTCGGCTCGCGCCACTGCTGGCGGGAGGGGGCCTCCTTCACTCGAGGGTTCTTTGGCCTACTGGTAGGAGCACGTACGATTTACTCCACCACCACCACCACACGCGACATGCCGATCGATGAAGTGTGGTTGTATGTGTGTATGTACGTTGATCTTGGCGGGTGGGGTGGCTGGACGGGTGGGGTGTCTGGGCGGGTGGGGTGTCTGGGTGGGTGGGTGTCTGGGCGGGTGGTGTGTCTGGGCGGGTGGGGTGTCTGGGTGGGTGGGGTGTCTGGGTGGGTGGGGGTGTCTGGGCGGGTGCGGTGTCTGGGTGGGTGGGGTGTCTGGGCGGGTGGGGTGTCTGGGTGGGTGGGGCGTCTAGGTGGGTGGTTTTTCTGGGTGGGTGGGGTGTCTGGGTGGGTGGTGTCTGGGTGGGTGGTTTGTCTGGGTGGGTGGGGTGTCTGGGTGGGTGTCTGGGTGGGGTGTCTGGGCGGGTGGGGTGTCTGGGTGGGTGGGGTGCCTGGGTGGGTGGGGTGTCTGGGCGGGTAGGGTGTCTGGGTGGGTGGGGTGTCTGGGCGGGTGGGGTGTCTGGGTGGGTGGGGCGTCTGGGTGGGTGGGGTGTCTGGGTGGGTGGGGCGTCTGGGTGGGTGGGGTGTCTGGGTGGGTGGGGCGTCTGTGTGGGTGGGGCGGGTGGGTGGGGTGGGTGGGGCGGGTGGGTGGGGTGGGTGGGGCGGGTGGGTGGGGTGGGTGGGGTGGGGTGGGCGGGTGGGTGGTGTGTCTGGGTGGGTGGTGTCTGGGTGGGTGGGTGGGGTGTCTGGGTGGGTGGGGCGTCTGGGTGGGGTGGGTGGGCAGGTGGGCGGGCGGGCGGGTGGGCGGGTGGGTGGGGTGGGTGGGCGGGTGGGTAGGGTGGGTGGGCGGGTGGGTGGTGTGTCTGGGTGGGTGGTGTGTCTGGGTGGGTGGTGTCTGGGTGGGTGGGGTGTCTGGGTGGGTGGGGCGTCTGGGTGGGGTGGGCAGGTGGGCGGGCGGGTGGGCGGGCGGGTGGGTGGGTGGGAGGGGTGGGTGGGGTGGGGTGGGTGGGCGGGTGGGTGGGGCGGGTGGGTGGTGTGTCTGGGTGGGTGGGGTGTCTGGGTGGCTGGGGCGTCTGGGTGGGTGGGGTGTCTGGGTAGGTGGGGTGGGTGGGGTGGGCGGGTGGGTGGGGGGGTGGGTGGGTGGGCGGGCGGGTGGGTGGGGTGGGTGGGGTGGGTGGGGTGGGCGGGTGGGTGGGGCGGGCGGGTGGGTGGGGTGGGCGGGTGGGTGGTGCGTCTGGGTGGGTGAGGCGTATGGGTGGGTGGGGCGTCTGGGTGGGTGGTTTGTCTGGGTGGGTGGGGTGTCTGGGTGGGTGGTGTCTGGATGGGTGGGGTGTCTGGGTGGGGTGTCTGGGTGGGTGGTTTGTCTGGGTGGGTGGGGTGTTTGGGTGGGTGTCTGGGTGGGGTGTCTGGGTGGGTGGGGTGTCTGGGTGGGTGGGGTGTCTGGGTAGGTGGGTGGTGTTTGGGTGGGTGTCTGGGTGGGTGGGGTGTCTGGGTGGGTGGGTGGTTTGTCTGGGTGGGTGGGGTGTCTGGGTGTCTGGGTGGGGTGTCTGGGTGGGGTGTCTGGGTGGGTGGGGTGTCTGGGTGTCTGGGTGGGGTGTCCGAGTGGGTGGGGTGTCCGAGTGGGTGGGGTGTCTGGGTGGGTGATGTCTGGGTGGGCACTCCGTTACCTTGCAAGCGCTCGTCGGGCTCTTGTCTCTGTCCCGGTCTCCCCCAGCCGGCGCCGGCGGCAGCGACACCGAGTGGCACTGGGCGGGCGACTGCATCGCGGCCAGGTGAGCGGCGTAAATCTAGCGGAGAAACGTGACATCCGTAAAAAAAAATCATTTCTAAAATCAATGAACACCCAATCAAGGCCCACCCACGACAATCAATGGTCAAGACTCGTAACGGAGTGGCAGCCACAAGGGGTGGAACATATGTCACGCTTCTTTCGTACCGTACGTAGACAACCGTGCTAATCGGAGGTGCGGGAGGCGAAGGCACGTCAGAGGTGAGTGCAGAATGGTAACGGCGCAGTGGTTGAAAGGGATACGTGGAAGTGGCGCTATTAAACCTGTTCGTCCTGGAGCCCATGATCACTAACATACACCTACACTGGCACTCACTCGCACATAAACACAAAATATGCAAGAGTGTAGCCGACAGGCTGTTGAGGCAAGCGCTGTTAGCGGGCACCTATGAAGGCTGGCACGGCACGCGAGGGCCGTTGCTGGCCAACATCGCGGCCGCCTTTGTCTCCCCAGTGCCGATGTACTCGTTTAATGCTGAGTCGACCTAGGCGAGGCCCAGGACGGCTTCAAATAACAGCCACTGTTATTCGTCGTGAGCGGGAATCGAACCGCGGGGTCGCCGAGTTCAAAGCACAGTGCCCTAACTGCAAAGATATTGCTCCCCACGCACGCACGCGCACACACACACACACGCACACACACACGCACGCACACACACACACGCACGCACACACACACGCACGCGCACACACACACACACACGCACACACACGCGCACGCACACACACGCACGCACACGCACGCGCACGCACGCACACACACGCACGCACACACACGCACACGCACGCACACACGCACGCACACACACGCACACACACGCACTCTTATTCAGGCATGAAACCGTCAAACTCGCAGGCTGTTGCGTGGATACCGTGCACGATCAATTACGCCTGTAGGCTAATGGTGTGCCGCTACACCACATCCTACACTCGCGAGGGGTGGGGGGGGCCCCCATACCACTACGGTTGAGAAATCTTATCGAGAAACAGGTGAACGTCTCCGCAAATCTGGCTGTCGCCTGAAGAAGCTGGTTGCAATTACTGGCGAAACGTCGTGCTCAGACTGTAAATGTTGTGGCTTGGCCCTCCAACACACCGGTGTTGCTGTACTAGTGACGAATTGGGCCACGTTCTGTTTACGTGACAACCCCTTACTAGTTGGCTGCGTCGGGTGGTGGTGGGCTTTTAACGACACAACATTTATATATTTACACGATCTAACCCCCCCCCCCCCAAAAAAAAAACCCTTTATCACGGAAGGTTGAGAAACACCGCTGGGGCAGCTGCCCACGTTGAACCCGGGATGATGAGAAGCTCTCGCCCCTAAGCGTTCTAACCCCGCGAGCACCTCCGACAAGCACCGCTGGCTCCGCACGGCGCGTGTCCGATTCCCTTCGAGAGAGTCAAACGACCCCAGCGTAGCGGCAACCGGTGGTGGCATTAAATCGGGGCCTCTTCCCTGCACTGGCATCTCTCAGCAGCAGCAGCAACAACAACAACATGATTGTCATCGTGCTGAAAGGGGAACAAATAATTAGCAAGATGCAAGGTCAAAGGTGGAGTTTGACTTCTATATTTGGAGAGGGGGGGGGAGGAGTGTTCGCTTTAACCCTCAACATGCGTGTAATAATGTTTATTGCAGTGGTTCTTAACCTTTACTGTAGCCTCGCACCCGTTTGGTTCTCAATCGTAAAAAAAACAATGTATGGAATGTCAATAGATACATAGAGTTTGATAGAAACAAAGTAAATTGGTACTTTAAAAAAAGTCACGTAGAACAAAAAAATAATTATAAAAAAGGACTTTCCCCCCCCCCTTCTTGATGACGATTGCTTTGTGTTGCGATCGAAACGTCGTAGTTTTTTTTGTTTAATAAGATGTTGTTCTACGTGACCTTACCGAAAGACATGCCCGTGCTTAATTAGCGTTTTAGATTATTTACCTTCGAACAAAAATCTGCCCGTGTCTCGCTTACCGCCCCCCCCCCCCAGATAGGGCATCTCGCACCCCCAGATGGATGCGATGGATGCGTGCACACCCAGGTTAACAAGAACCACTGGTGCTTTATTGTAAACTCCAGAAAATAAATAAAGGTGTCCAGTTATGGCGGGGCACTGCCCCCCCACCCCCCTTCAAACTCGCATGGCCTTGCCAGCCAGAAGTGGCCCAAACCCCAAGTGAACGGCAGCAATCGTAAACTTCGGGGGGAGGGGGGAAGTTTCTTCTTGGCAATCTTTTGCAGGCCTCATTACCCCCCCCACCTCCTCCCACCCACCACCTTGCCCGTCACTTTCGCCCCGATAAGTTTTAGCAAACATTGTTCGGGGGGGGGGGGGGGGGGAAACTTCTCACTGTTTTGCGTGCGCGAGTGTGCGTGCGTGAACACCGGGGCTAATTACGTGCGCACGTAGGTCAGAGGTCCAGGAACTTTCGCACATTGGGGAAGGCGGCCGAGGAGGGGCGGGGGCGGGGTGGGGGGGGGGGGGGTTAGCGGCCGAGGGAAGGTTGTTAGCTTTGTGAAATCGGGACAATTGAGCTATTAGTCGTAGACAGATGTGTACATGTCCCACTGAACTTCTTTCGCCCCGTACTTAGCCAACCGTGCTAAATCAGGAGGTGCGGTGCAAACTGGGGGTTGGAGTAACTCGGATTAATAATTATCCAAGAAAGCCTCATCGCTTCTCGTGACACGTTATTCATGGGGTTCCTTCCACATTGGAATGCCTGGAACCATTTCGATACGAATGAGAGAGTTGGCTCCGTGGGGAGGGGAGATCGGAAAACCTGTGAGAACTAGCCTTTTGCCTGTCCAAGGACTGGCGTATTGCAGTAAATCTGAAACTTGCAAGCGAAAAGCAGTCCGCGACGTGATATTCACTGCATTAATGCAGTGAATAATGCAGTTAATATCACAGACCTATTTCATTTTAAGGTTATAATCCCTTGTTCATCATGACGTCCTTTTTACTTTGATGTCTCAACAGCGTTACCACCGTGCCGTCCCCCGGCTACCACCTCGCAGTGCACACGCCTACAACACCTGGCAAGCCCCGGTGGTGGTGGTGGTCAAGCGTCCAAGTTAGTAGCCGGCCTCAACTCTGCTCAGCTCGTAAGACTGGATGAGTTTTAGAAAGACCAAACAAAATAATCGACGGATTGGTGGAGCGTCACTTGTCTGGCAATCATTGATGCGTTGACACTAACCTGCAGGTGTAGCGGAGAGAGGGCAGGGGTAGCAGCATGCCCCAGCGTTGACGGTAGCAGAGGCAGGGAGTACTGTTCAACTGCACGTGTTGTGCACGTGTGTGTTCGCATGTACACACGTGCACGGGTGAGTATGCAGTGCAGTGCGTATGTGTGCGTGTGTGTGCGTGTATGGTAGGACACACGCACGTGTATATGTATGTATGCATGCATGAGCAATAATGTATGTGTACGTTTGTGTGCGCGCATGTATGTATGCATGCATGCACGTACGTGAGATAGTGTGGCACGAGCGTGCGTGCACACGTGTGCAAGTTAGCGCGCGTGTGCGTTTCGGCGTACGTGTATGTGCACGGGTGCACGCACAATCGAGTGATGCACGCGTTTGCATGTTTGACGCAATAGTGCGCGTGCGTGCAAGTATGTACGTGTCGACGAGCACGTGTGTGTGCGTGTGTGCGTGCGTGCGCGTGTTTGTATACATGTCAGCCGGTTGTGGTCCACAGAAATAACAAACACAGGTAAAAGGAAGGGATTAGGTGAAGCGACTGCGATAGGAACGCGTCTCCAACCGCACACACACACACACACCGCGACGCCTCTCTCACACTCTTCGAAAAACACACGGCCCGCTCGCAATACTGCGCAACGGAAACATCTCTCCTTAAGCTGCACATTCCACCTAAAGTACACAACCTCGCGGTGGTGGAGCATTTCGGGTAATGCTCACTTAAATAAATCACCGAATACATTAAAGAGTCAGGCCTACTGGGCCTCCATGATGAACGCTAACCCTGAGCTCGGCCGTACTGCGGTGGCAAGATGTTAACTCCCTCGCCTGGTATACAGGAGGTTGTGGATTCGATTCACATTTAGAACAACGTGCGTTGAGCCTATAAATCTCCACGTGATAAGCCACCTCGTTGAACTATCATTTGTGGACAGGTCGCTTCTGAGAAAACAGCTATATAGCTCGGTGGGGGCTTTACCTGCTAAAAATAAAAATCGTTCAGTAGGAAAAGAGTAAAAATCAATCGCTCTCTCAATTATCGCTTCCATTACTCAACTAAATCCTTTGAGATGATAACGGTTGGAAAAAAATAAAGTATCTCGTGTGCCGCTGGACGGGCGCTCATCATGGGTCACGCTGGGCGTGGCTTGTTATACGGTTGGGGGTTTCCCGCCTTTGGGAGGCAGGACGTTGAGGCTGCCACCATTTTCTACAGGGGCTAGATCAACCGACCTCACCGACTGATCGTCCCAGCGTTCGTTTAAACACGCAAGCTCTGGACCGGTTTTTGCCCATCCGAGGTTCGTCAGCAGGGTCGTAGGCACCTCACCCCCTAACATTTCGGGGTTTCCGAATTGCCTCAAGCGTATTAGCGCTGCAAAAGCTGAAGGCCGCTGGTGCATTCAGCAATAGCAGTGGATTGAGAATGTGAGAATGCCTGCAGTCAATGACGTCGATGCAAACGAAGTGACATCGTCCAATGATGACGACGACTATAACGAACGGCCAACTGCTTCGTGTCGACGTGACCCTGACCCCCTGCAAATAGCGGGGGGATTAGCTCAGCAGCCTGCGTTTGAGAGCGGCGCTTTGTCCAGTTCGATTAAAAGTCCATCCTGGAAGGAAGGAGGTCGTCTGCAGGCAGGCCCCGGATGGATCGTTTACAGTCCCCGTGGGAACCGACGCTCAACGCACACTCAACGCCGACCTCCCGACCAGCGCTAAAATAACACCGGAGTGCACAAAGTGACGGCTTCGTTTTTAGCTCTGAAATCATCACTCGAATCTGCTCGCAGTCTTCACCACCGCTGCCAGACGTCCATTGAGCAATCCCGGAGGACCAGGAGAAAAATTCACGCGACCACGGGGAGAGAGACATACATATTCTAAATATGCAGCAGGCGTCAGGGTCGGGATCTAACCCACGGCCTGCATACCAGGTGATGTAGTTAACATCTCCTAGCCACCGCAACTTACGCCCGATAACGGTTGCATAGCCGTCGAGTGTGCAGGCGGTGCAATTGGGACCCGGCCCCCCATGGTATCAGAGGCAGCGAGGCTCTGGGCTACGAAGAGGGTGGACATTAGACAGGGGCAGGGGGCGGGGGGGGTGGCATCGCATTCCTTACACCAGGAGGTCCGTGCCAACCATGCCACGCCACCACCCCGCTTCCTCCGTCTCAAGACATCGGCAAGAGAGCCAGGCCAAAGCTTTACTGCTTACGCGATTCTAAAGCCACTAAGTGTCCCAGTTATGGCTGGGGCAGTCCTGGTGGGATCAGTAAGTCTCTGTCTTTATGGGTGCCTTTCCAAAGCATTTGCTAAATGTCTGGAATTTTCCGCATCTTCTTGTTCGTGCGGGTAAATGGTGGGGCTACCCGAAAAGTGGGAGGGGCTACCTGAGCAGTGGGAGGGGCTACCTGGACAGTGGGAGGGGCTACCTGAGCAGTGGATGGGGCTATGTGAAAGAAGGCGGGGCTGACAAAAGCTTCGGGGCCGTCTGCTCACCACCATGTCTCCCAGTTGAGCCTCCCAGAAACATTGGCAGCCAGTACACAGCCCACTTACCGGGCTTGCAGGCCAACGCGGTGGGCAGAACGAAGCCGTGCTGGGCCGCCATCGCCCTTTGATCCGGCGGGAAAATGGGAATCATCATCGGAGACAGCTGACCCTGTGAAGGTCAATGGGAACGACACACGGGTCACAAAGGTCAAGTCGAAGTAAACGGGGCACAAAAGCAGCACCAACACACACGCATACAGTAAATTGGGTAAATAAATGCGTTGGCGATGCCGCCGCTGGGGGAATTTAGAGGTCGAAGGGTCGCGGCAAACTCCTCGCGTCCCTGGGCTCGGGGCGCCCGCGGGGGTCTCCCGTTCCGGGTGAAGAATTTATTTCTTGCGCTGTAGCGTTGCGACGGTCTTGGCTCGTTCGTCAACGAAAGCACCGGCTGAAGTCCGTCTGTGAAAATGCGGATTCGGTGGCGGATGGCGATCAACTCACAGCGGCGATGTTTCAAATGAAAATTGTCGTCCGCGGTAGGCTTGGCTTCAGCTCGTCATTCCTCGCGGGGTTGACGAAGACAGTTCCAAATTCAGCGGGAAGCCTAACAGCGGTTGGTCGGTCGATTGGTTGGCTCTACGTGGAGAGGACTAATGCCCGCTTCCGGACAGTGGAATATCCACCACTGGCTCGGATTCATCAGTGGGGATGCGTTGCCGTACCAACGTTAATTTGAGCAGGGAGAGAAACTCTCCGTCCCTGCTTCTGAGATTTAGTTTTGGCAATTTTTGTATAATTTTCAGTATCATTCACAGCTGAGATGTTGGAAACACCTCCACCCCCCACCCAAAGTTTCATGGGAAAGTCACAGAATGGAGTGGGGCGATGCCCCACCTAAATGCCGCTTAAATAGAATAGCGCAAAGTCAAATCTGTTGCATAGTTTTCTCGCATTTGCAATCGATTCGGGGCAGAATTTACTCAAAATAACATAGCTTAGGGGCGCGGCTTTTGAGGTTTTGTTGTTGTGTTTGCCGAAGCGTTTCAGCAGCCATGTCAGCTGCTTTGCAACAACATTCGAGCAGTGTAATGTGCAGTGGTCAGCGTGCTGCGCTATGAACCCAGTCGGTCACCTGAGTTTGATTCCCAGCCACGGCTAACATCAGTGGCGAGCGAAATCCGAACCGGTTTTGTCCGCCCCCCCCCTGACCACCATTCCACACTGAGAGGCGCGGTGAGGCATGGTCAAACAATCCCCATAATTGATACAGCGCTGAGAGGTCTTCATCCAGCTGTGAATTGACAAAGGGCAGTAAATTATTTTTTTTCAATTCAGGGTCAAATAACCCCCACGACCCACACAGCGTGGGGAGCTCCTCATCCAGCAGTGGATTGGCCAAAGGGTTGCGTTATATTTTCCTGATTATGAGATGGCACTTTCTTTCCCCTGCATTTTAAGGCAAAAGTTTTGGGAGCGTCTTTTTATCGGGTAGCTGTGTAGCGCGTGTGTGTGCGTGCGTGCGTGCGTGCAACCGGATTTGTATGGGAACATTATGGACATCGGAGACAAGCCTTGGGGTGCGTCTTGCTTTGCAGAGTGTAAATAATAATATGGAGAATACGGTAAAGTGGGATACGAACCCAGTAGCAGACACAGTGGTTGGTTGCATACCAAACTGAAAACTGTAACTGAATGAGTGATATTTTCCCCCGGTATTACAATGTAAATCAGTGTCAACCAAGCCCACGGGGAAATTTCCCGAAAGGAATTTAGCGTAACAGGCCACAGATTCTCAAGACTCGTGTCTCATCTCAATGTCTCGTCTCTTATCTAATTAATAATCGGGCTTTTGTCCACATTTCTCTCGTCCCTTGTGCATGTACGTTGTTGTTGAACTCCATTCACACCTCACGTAACCAAACTAAACACAAAAAGCATTTCTAGCTTCCAATCTAGATCATTAAAAGTGCAATAGTTGGCAGTGGCTCTCTTCTATCGGAATGAAGGAGCGTTCCAGACGGCCGCAGAAGCGCATCCGAAAGCGCCGCGCAATGCAGTGACCGTCTTTGTTCGATGGCCAGCAAAAACACTTGAATTGGCCTCGGTTTTCAATCTAGATTTAAAAGTGGATAGCTCCAGTGGCTTAAGATTGCTCAGCCATTCTCTGGAGGCCAAGTCTTATGCACGTGAAATGCGCTCCTACAACTTATAATTATATCAGCTGTTTGTTTACCCAGGAAAGCCACACTGAGCCTCAAGACTCTTTGAGGAGGTTCCTGCCAAGTTTTTGCAGTGGGGTAGGGTGGGGAGGAGGGGGGTATGTTGCTGCTGTGTAATCCCAATGGAGTAATCTGCAGGTAATTGAGATGTTTGGCCAATACCAGTTACATAGATTTTTTTTCTTCCTTTTCAGCTATTGGAGAGAAACTGGGGAAAAAACCCCCCGGTGTAAACCCATGCAGAACACAGGGTAATCATGCAAACTGCACAAGGAAAGGCACCCAAGCTGATCTCGTCAAGGATAATTAAACCTCACGCAAACTCCGGTCATCCTCACAGCAGCAGCGGCTTCTGGCTGGCCACCGAACAAAGACGGTCACCACATCGTGCGCTTTTGGATGTGCTTGTGCGGCCGTCTGGAATGCTCTTCCTTCCGATATTAGGAAGCCACTGGAGCTATGCGCTTTTAAATCTAGATAGAATACGAATTTCTTCAACACAATTGTAGTTTGTTGTCCTTCCCCCGCACCTCCGATTAGCACGCTTGGCTACGTACGGCGCGAAAAAAGTTCAACGTACGCACAAGTCAGGGAATCTAATCCAGGCCCTTCTTGCTCCAAGGCACGCCCACACTGCCGCCCTGTATCTGACTGCTCCGTGCCTCACCGTCTGTAGGGGGCTCCAAAAGAGGCGGAATGCCTACATCTGGGAATGCGGATGGGCCGCCTAGAGCGGCAAAAATAAGCTATTTATCTTTTGTTCTACGTCTACACAAATTCCAATTGTGACAATAATTGTCCACATTCATAATATAGGTTTTTTTTAGGTTGGATCGCGTAAATATAAATGTGTCATTAAACCCGCCACCACCCGGCACAGCGAATTAGTAAGGTTTGTCACGTAAACAGAACATGCCAATTCGTTACGAGTACATCGCACCGGTGTGTTGGAAAGCAAATCCACAACATTTACAATCTGAGTAGGACGTTTCGCCAGTAATGACAACTAGCTTCAATTTTGCACGTCTGGTCCCCCTCTACCCATCAGCTGCGTCACAAAATGCGGCTTTATCTGCATTAAATAAAACTATTTGTCCAGCTTCTTTACTGAATCCGTGAAAGTTTCTGTGGACCGTGGTGATACATTACGTGCTCATTCGTGTTTGACAGGTCACGAAGACCCATGGATCTTATACCAAATCAGTACGGTCTCTTGTCTACATTTGTATTCGTAACATCATTGGCCACCAGAGACGGATCTGACACTTCTCCCGTGGGGGGAGTGGAGAGTCGGGGGGGGGTAGGCGGGTGGTGGTCCTGAAATTTCAACATTTTTAAAATAGGGCCCTTACATCATCGCACATTATTCCCATTTGGATCCGCCAGCGCTTGCCACAGCTAACATCAGCGGCTGGATATACCGGAATGGTCAATACTGGCCTGGTACTTTGGGACCCCTTTTCTCTGCCAAACCCTTAACCAACCCGCACCGACCAGCGTGGTGAAGTATGGCCAAACAAACTGCCACGACCGACAATGGACAACGGACTGAGAAAAATATCGCGATGACAGCAATCATCACGGTCCGTGCGGCCTTCTGGGGGTCAACGGAGAGGTTGAATGCAGGCGGTCCCCGCTCTTACAACGTCACGACGCATTCCTGGAAACCCCCCCACCCCCCCCACGGTCGTGAATCGGATAGTCGTAATCCAGACTCCTATTTTCCCACAGACGGTAGAAAACAGTCGAAATATCGCTTGCCGTTGTGTTCCTTTTGTTCTCTTCGACGGGCCGCATTTAACAGGGTTTAATAATAGGGGCGCAAACATCCGCACAAAAAAAACACTCGAGAATAATAATAAAAAAAAATATCCACGCCAACTCACGTCGGAAACCGGACCGACCGACTCCGTTCAAACGCGTCCGGGAGCCGTGGCGTGTCGGAAGCCGCGTCGCGAATCAAGTTTCTGCGTCGCGAATCAAGTTTCTGCGTCGCGAATCAAGTTTCTGCGTCGCGAATCAAGTTTCTGCGTCGCGAATCAAGTTTCTGCGTCGCGAATCAAGTTTCTGCGTCGCGAATCAAGTTTCTGCGTCGCGAATCAAGTTTCTGCGTTTGCGAATCAAGTTTCTGCGTCGCGAATCGAGTTTCTGCGTCGCGAATCAAGTTTCTGCGTCGCGAATCAAGTTTCTGCGTCGCGAATCAAGTTTCTGCGTCGCGAATCAAGTTTCTGCGTCGCGAATCAAGTTTCTGCGTCGCGAATCAAGTTTCTGCGTCGCGAATCAAGTTTCTGCGTCGCGAATCAAGTTTCTGCGTTTGCGAATCAAGTTTCTGCGTCGCGAATCGAGTTTCTGCGTCGCGAATCAAGTTTCTGCGTCGCGAATCAAGTTTCTGCGTCGCGAATCAAGTTTCTGCGTCGCGAATCGAGTTTCTGCGTCGCGAATCGAGTTTCTGCGTCGCGAATCGATCCGTAGTCGCGCCGCAGTCGCGTTCAACGTCGTCAATAACCATCTCTAGAATCGGGACCGTCGTCATGAAGCCATCCGGAGACCACCTGTGCAGGGAAAACGGGCGGCGCGATTCTGAACGAAGTGCGGTGGCGAGGGGGTGGGATGAGTTAGAGGTGGCGTGGGGCACTGGGGAGATAGCGAGAGGTGGGTCAGTGTAGCGTGAGTGTTTGTGGACACGGGGCGGCCTTGTCACGATACCTTGCTGGCTGCCCGCCTGCCATCCCCCCTCCTGCCCGCTGCGACCGCCCCCTCCTGCAACTGCCCCCCCACCCACCACCTCGCCGGCCCCCTCCGCCGCCCTCCCGGCCGCCCTCACGGCTGGGGGATTGTGAGGTGAGGGGGTCAGAGGTCGCCGGAGGTTCTGTTTGCTCGATTGTAACCGGGCTCGCATTTATCGTTTCACTTCGGCGGAGGCCCTCGGATTAGGGTGGAATGCGAGGAG